TATTCTTAAGCAAGTAATATGTGCACCAGCCTCCTTTTCCACACATGCTTTAAAATTCTTAAATACAACAAAAGCTTCTGTCTTCTCATGTAAAAAATAAATCCAAGTTTTCCGCGAGTAATCATCGATAAAACTTATAAAATACCTTTTATCACTGTTAGAAGCCGGATTGATAGGTCCACATAGATCAGAATGCACCAGTTGAAGCTGCTTCGAAGCTCTCCAGGAACTTTGCTTTGGTATTGATTCTCTGTGTTGTTTGCCAATCAGGCAAGCTTCGCATAATTTCTTCAGAACTTTGAGCAAAGGCATACCATCCACCATTTTTCTGTATGCAAGTGTTCCCAACCCTTGATAATTCAAATGACCAAAGCGACGATGCCACAAGTGCGATTCTTTTTCAGGAAAAACTTTAGCTTGAAAGCACACAGATTTTTTTTTGTGCCATAGATGCTGACAAATAGAACATTCTATTTCCACTCATATTAGTTTGAATAATTAACCCCCTTCTAGGATGATAAACTTTACAAGTCCCTTGCTGAATTAAAATAGCTAAACCTTTCTCCTGAAGTTGTCCTATGCTCAACAAATTGCTCTTCAATTTAGGTATGTAAAAGACATTTGAGATTACCTGAAGAGAGTTATTTATTCGAAGCCGTACACTTCCTTTAGCTACAACTGCCATTCTGGTGTCATTACCAAGCTTCACCATTTGTCAAAATCCTTCCTCCAGCTCTGAGAACCATTCTTTGTTTCCAGTCATATGATTGGAGCAGCCGGAGTCAAGAAACCAGACTTCTTCTCTTTCAGTTTGATGAGACTCAACATAGGACATCAATAGAATCTCTTCTTCTTCTCTGAGTTCAGCATAGTTAGCCTTTTTCTCCCAATCAGGACACTCATATTGATAGTGTCCCAGGTGATGGCATTTGAAACATTCTATAGTGGCTTTATTCGAAGACATTCTCCCTCTTCCTCTAACTTGATGTCCTCGGAATGAGCCTTTGCCCCTTCCTCTCCCTGGCTTATCATCATAAGAGATTCGTAAGACTTGATCTTCCTCCTGATTCCCTTACATTCTTCGTTCTTGAACAAGCAGACTTCCATGGAGCTCATCAATGTTCATGGTATTTAAATCATTTGGCTCCTCAATTGAACAAACAGCGTAATTGAATTTTGGGGTCAAAGATCTCAAAACCTTACGCACCACCGTGCTTGGATTCATATCTTCGCCATTCATCTTCATCTTGTTCACAACTACTAGAGTTTGTGCAAAAAAGCTATCGATCTTTTCTCCTTCCTTCATATTCAGTAGTTCAAAATCCTTCCTCCATGCCTGCAGCTGTGCTCTCTTCACTTTGGTGGATCCTCGGTACTTTTGCTTCATCGAATCCCAAATTGCCTTGGACGTCCTTTTGTCAAGGATGGTTTCAATGATTTCTCTTTTAATAGCTTGAAAAAGATAATTCTTTACCTTTAGATCCTTGAGCTTAGCTTCTTCGACGCTCTTCCTCTGCGTCTCACTCGTTGATGAATTCCCAATTGCTGGTAACGGAATCCCTTCATCCACCAGATTCCACATCTCTTTGTCCTCAAGAAATTTTCCATCAAAATTGACCAATGGTCATAATGACCGTCAAATTTTGGAACTATGAAGCTCTCTGAGGTTGCCATGCTTCACTCACTCTCACTTACTCTCCTATTTTAGTCAGGCCCTTTCACGGATTTGATGCCAATTGTTAAATATCAGATCTTAGAAAGCTTAGGTACTGATTGGAGAAAAGCTGTATATTATTCAATAACTTACTGGCTATTTATAGCCTTTTACACAAAGAGAAACAGAACAAAGTCTACGCTTTACAAGCCTATAGTGTAGTGGATATAAAAACAAACACTATCCACACTAAAGAATATGTCTTATTCTAACAACCTAGTAGAACTAGTAAACTACTAACTTAGCTAACAGTCCACCACCTTCATCTAACCAAGTCAATCTTTGTTTGTTCATAAACGACATTGGATGTTGCAGTGTCTAAAAAAGGAAAAAAACTATCAATTTTAAATGAATTACAAGGGGATGGTGAGGATAAGGATGGTAAAGAAGGGGAAATGGTAGATGGCGTTAGGGTTCTAGTTGTGAGATTGAAAATTGGTGAGGTTGCAGAGGCAAGTAATGTAGCGGTTTTACCTGTTTGTAGAGCAGATTAGATAGAAAAAGAGATTTTGGAAGCTCTGTAGGAATGTAGGATGGGGGGAAGTTTGGATGTGGTAGCGAAGAAAGGCTGGGAGAGGTGGGTGGTGTTACCAAGATGGGAGCCGGTCGTTGGGTTAGGGAAAGGAGGAGTGGTGGTGGCTTTTCCAGATCTAAGAGTCTTACCTTGCAAAGTGAAGAGATGGCATAAATAAGAGGTCGTTGATGACAGTGGTGATGGTGGATTAAAGGTGCAGAGAATAACTTTTTGCTAGGAGTTTTGAGTTTGGCCATGTCTTTAAACTACGCCATTGGGTGAGATAATGAGCAAGAGAGAGAAATCAAAAAGGGTAAGAGAAAAAATTGACGCAGCATGACTTGAAAAAAAAAATTAAATGATGAAATAATGCCACGTGTTTTCCACATGGAATTCCTTTTGCCTGGAAAATCAATTTAACGGGCAAAGGGATTCTCGGGACGACAATGAGATACATCCTACACTTTAGGTATGACGGGTGAAAATAAGCAATTTATTGACATGTTTTCATTTTAGAATTTTGAAATGCAGATTTGGCAATGAAAATATTTTTCTAAGATAGATGCTAAACTTTATAATTAAATGTTTAAATACCTCATTTAATTATGATAAGTTGTTGTGCTAATTAAATCTCAATTTATAACTTGGGACTTCTAAAAGTGAAACTTTACAATTAAATCTTTGAATATTTCATTTAATCAGGGATTCATTTTATAACTTGAGAATTCAAAAGGTGTTAAATTTTACAATTAAACTACAATAGATTTTAATAATAAAGATTGATGCATTCTTGCACAAATGTTGTCCAAAAAAAAGATAGTCTAAGTATATTTGATTTTTGATAATTCCAAAGAAAAAAAAAACCCGAAGGAAGATGATAATGTTATTGAAAAGGTTATTGTGGATATACTATTATTGTTTGAATTAAAGTGAATTTATTATGAATTAATAATACAATATTTGGTTTTTCCTTTTTTCCTTTATCTTTTTGTAGATAATTTCGAATGATGCTCGGTTATTTATGCATTCTTAATTTTCGTGATAATTTTAGCTATTTTTTAGCTATTAATTTATTTATGAAACAACCTATACTTTTAATTTTAAAATTTTATTATTAAATTCCAAACCAAAATGTTAAATTAATATTTTTGTTTAAGTTTAATTAATAATGAAATTAATTAAACAACCCATTTAAGTTAGTTATTGTATGTTAAATAGTTTAAAAAAAAAAATAAAACAAACCCGAAGGAAATCAAATCTAGTCCAATTGAAAGCGTTTGATTAGTTAAAAATCAAGCTAAACATGTGGTTTGAACGTGAACTAAATGCAAACGGATCAAATCGAGGGGTCAGCCAGTAAAAAAAGAGGAGTAGAGGAGTCAAAACATAAATCTTCCCCATCTCCTTCGCCGTCCCCTCCCCCCTCTCTCTCCCTTTTCCCTGTCCTGTCGATTCCAACAATATCAAGGCCAAAGAAGAGGAGCTCTGACATACATGCTTCCAACAATATCAAGGCCGGAGAAGAGGAGCTTGTTGCTCTTTCATCTTCCACCGTCTATTTGACATGCTTACCGCTAATTGTTGCTTTTTCATCTTTCACCATCTATCTTAATTTCATCTTTTGTGGTTAGGGATGAAAATTTAACCCGACTCGATCCGACCCAATTTTTTTGTGGGTTTGGAAAGTATATAATTGGAATGGGTTGCTGCATTGTGTCCGGATTTAGGAGGCCGCATACCGACTACCCGAATTTGTTTGATTGAAAGTAAAACAATAGATGTTGAAATTGAAACATGACCTCCATATTACAATTAAACTAGCTTGCCACCAAACTACTTAATAACTTTATATGTAAATGGTACAAATAATATATATATATAAAAGACTATCCATGACTTATAGTTACTTTACATTTTAAATTTTTACTAATAAATATGCATAGTAATATAATTTTATTCATAAGTAAAATTTAATAAAATTACATACATTGAATTATAGTATCTTAATAATTTAAATTTAGTTTTTTTACATAAAATATACTAAACAAAATAATATATATTGTATTTGTGTATTAGTTATTTATTTGAACTTTTGTAGTTTGATAATTATTTATTAAACATTAAAAAAAATTATTAATTAAATAGAATACTAATAATGTTATAATTAAAAATTTTAAAAACTACTTATAAATATCACTAGTAAACTTTTAAAGATAATTATAATTAGATCTTAATTTAAAATATGACTGGTTTGAAATATGAAATCTAAATATAATTATAGCAATTTAGAATATAACTATATAAAATATCATTAGTGAACTTGTAATCATAATAATAATTTGATATTAATTAAATGTCCTCTTTTTTTTTTATTAGTATCATCATATATATTAGTATAATCATACTTAGAAGTCCATTGTATATATATTAAGAATAACAACATCTACAATTAATTATAACCTACTAGACATATTCTCTAATAAAAAGGTATTAAACTTAATACTTTACCTAGTATTATTATTATTACAATTACTATAATATCCAAATACAATTATAGGCTTATAGCCTTTTGATTAATAGTTAGTATAATAATAATAATAATAATAATAATAATAAACTATTTTATTTCTTAAAAAAAAAAAAACAATAACCTATTTTATTGTCAAAACAACGTAGTTTTGATGCAGGAGGTTTAAATGAATCCACACAGAAAACTACGTCGTTTTAGCGTCGGGTTGCATTTTAATGATGCAAATAAAACAAAAGTTCTCCCAACTAAAAATCATGCACCGGTCGTTCTCTTCTTCTATTGTTCTACCCATTTACAGTCTTATTGCTTTTTCTACCCCTTCCCGTTGCTTCTGTGCGTGGCCGTCGCCGTCGCCTGCGCAGCAGTCCTCTGCTCTTCAACCGTAGTATCAGTGCCAGGTCCTCCATTTGTATTCTTGATTTTTATTTCGTTCTCGATTTATTTTTTTTCCTTTCTCCTTCGTCCCTTTTCCCTTTTTTTTTTTTTTTTTTTTCCTTTTCTCCTTCGTCCCTTTTCCCTTTTTTTTTTTTTTATATTAAATACATATAAACAGAACAAAGATGAGGAATTGTCTTAATGTTATTGTTGTGGCTCTTAGCCTGGCGGAGATATATGTTATATGTTTATTATTTTCATTAAGTTGGGTTTGTGCATGTATTTATTTGTTTAATTTCTGCCACTACTAAAATGGTTACTTTTACAATGAAATACCTATATTTTCTATTCCCTCAAGCCATGAAAGAGGGAGTTTTGTGTTTTGCTTTAGAATTTATCTTCTTTATTCTTCCCAATATTGTAAAAATTGATGTAAGACTAATTATTAATATTTCTTCTTTTGGTCTTAATTCTATGTATTATTTATTTCTGATTGAATTTTAATTCTATTGTTCTATTCTAAAGATTACCTGGTACTGTATGTTCTAGAACATTGCATGTTAAATAGTTTTTATTATTTCAGAGTCGAATTTTAATGTATTTTTATATATATTTTATGTTGCTTTTCAAGTTCTCACGCCTTTTCAGGGGTCCTTTAACGAAGGTTGATCGCAGGTAGTATCGGGTAAATTTTCGTCCCTTTTCCCTTTTTTTTTTTTTTTATATAAATACATATAAACAGACAAAGATGAGGAATTGTTAAATGTATTGTTGTGGCTTTAGCCTGGAGATATATGTTTATTGTTTTATTATTTTCATTTGTGGGTTTTGTGCATGTTTTATTTGTTATTCTCCATCTAAAATGGTTTACTTTTTAAATGAAATTATTATATTTCTATCCTAGATGAAAGAGGAGTTGTGTTTGTTGAATTTATCTTCTTTCTTTCTCCCAATATTGTAAAAATTGATGTAGCTAATTATAATTTTCTCTTTGGTCTTTTATTCTATGTATTATTTATTTCTGTTGAATTTTAATTCTTTTGTTCTATTCTAAGATTACTGGTACTGTTGTTCTAGAACATTGCATGTTAAATTGTTTTTATTATTTCAGGTTGAATTTTAATGTATTTTTATATATATTTTTTGTTGCATTTTCAAGTTCAGTTTCGGGTTTTAAGAGTGATCGGGTAGTATGCGGGTAATTCTAAATGGATTTGGGATGAATTTGCGTATAGTTGGTTTATTCCTTGATGGATTCGGGTTCTTAAATTGATAGTCGGGTTTGGATTTGGATTCGGGTAGTTGATTTCTAGCGGGTACCCACCCCGCTGCCATCCATACTCGTGGTTCACAAAATCTAATGCCTGGAGCTGCATTTCTGCCTCATTCCGGCTACCCTAGGCCTCAGGTGAGCCATCTTCGACCTTCTCCTCAGTTCTTCATAAATTTAGAAGGTTAGGGTTCCTGGGCAATGTGTGCATAAAATTGAGAAAGAAATTCTATTGGTTGTGCAATTAATACCGTGTATATATCTTTTACAAGATAATGAACAGATTGTTATGAATAAAACATATTTTGAGAAAAATTTGAAATTCCTTAGCAATGGCAACAGCCATTTAACACATTTTCATGAGATTTGGTAGAAAACAAGCTTGAATCAATATTTTCATTTGTTCTCTGCTTGACCGTGAACATGTTAGCAGTTAGATTATGGATTTTAATGAAGAACTAAGGAATTCTCATGGTAAACAGTTATCATGCTGGGATTTGACTATGAATTAAGTTGGAACACTCCAGATTTTTGTTGTTTCCTTTGCCTTTACTTTGGTTTATACGTGTACCAGCAGAGGAATTATGAGAATTAATCGACATTGAAGCTTCAAACTCATATTTTGTAAGGCAATTGGTAGATTAATATAATGGCTGCATTTACTGATAGATCATTTTTCATGGGTCCTGGATGAAAAAAGTTAGGAAAGAACGAATTTCTTGTTTTTTTCATATTGAATGCAAGTTGTTGATGTTATTCTTGCTTGATGAGAGACCTAATCTTGGAATCTCTAAGCTAAGTCTTGGAAATTGGCTTGCTAAATTGAAATGAGTTAAAAATCTATACACCTTTTACTGAAGTGGGTATAGAGGTTAAGATATAGATTGACTGAATGTGGTCTTGTATGTGTGTATTGAGTCCTAATTAAGCATGAGATTTTAACAAGTATACTAGGAAAGCTAGTTTGTCTTTCATAAGCTATGTTTAAGTAGGAAAATTTGAAATAGACATATAAATATGTGTATGTACATGTATGTGAAGTAACCATAATGATGGAGACTATATATATATCCTAAATGTTATATACGTAAACTATAGATTGGGTTTGAAATTCATATTAAGCTTGTATTTAATGATTGAAGCATGAGTTGAAGTAAAACCTTATAATTATTAATGGTAGTAAAACTTTGGGATGTTGATGATGATGTGAAGGGTGGATGGGAAATTGAATGACTTGATTGCCCGATGGATAGGTTGTGTGGACTCTGACTGATAAATATTGGATATTGTCACCTGTTTTACAAGCAGATAGTCTTAGGGGAGTTCATGCTGAATTTTCAACAGAATCTTAACTAGTTATACTTATATCTAGTAGATAGGATTATTAGATACTTAAGAAAATCCTTAATTTAATCTATAGGATAATTAGATATTTAAGAAAATCCTTTATTTAATCTTTCTTTCCTTTTTATTTGATTCCTTATAGGTCATTCAAGTTCGTCTTGTGCTCCTATTAATCAGAATTACGACTAGAGTTGTGATAATTTATGCTTAAAAATAATAGTGAGTAGTAGTAGTAAATAATACATGCCAATATTATTGTGCATAAACCCATTTACTACTTAAAAATTTATGCTTATTCATTATTTAAGTATTTATTCATACTTATATCATCAATGAATTGTTTAATTAGTTGTGATGTGCTATTACTCATGTGCATCTTATGATATGTGATATGGATTATATGGAAAATACCATTAGGGTAGCCTCCTATTGGTGATAAAAAAAAAAAAAAAGGAGTATGGAAAAACAATGAGAAGGTTGGTCAAGTGAGGTTGAAACTAGTCCGCAATATATGCGGAATCGGTTCCCTGGTGCACAAGTTATGAGAAGACATATAATGTGCGAGGACAACTAGCTAGGGATTTTGATGATGAAAAGACCAATCTTTACTTGATGTGATTATGTGAAGGTGTCTGTCTTTGTGATTGCTTTTGATATGATATTTTTGTGAATGACAGAATGATCATTTTCACATTTCTAGGACTATTTCGCGTGAATGCTTGGGTCATGTATTATTTATTATTATTATTTATTGAGTTGAAATGCTCACCTCTGCTTCAATCAAATTTTTTCAGGAAGCAAATTCTCCTCCACTCTCTTGCAGTAGTTCTGTTTCACCACAAAGCTAAAAATGTAATAATTTCGTTTCAGTATCTGTTTTTAATTATGGTTATTGTTGTTAAGAATTACATCTTATATTTATCTGGATTCCTCAGTAGTAGGCTTATCAGTTATTAAGTCATTTGTTGTTAGAAGGCATTTAAATATGTGAACTCTTTTATCCGTTTGAATTCTAGATACAAGGTATTAATGAAGCAATTGGTCTATATGATGTTTGTTATATGTTAAATGGGCCATGAGTTAATAGGGTTTTGATATAATTACTTGGTGTGCGTTTTGATTGGAAATAAACTTTACTTTATAATATGGGCTTACAGTTTATGATCATTAATTGGGCTTGTCTTAAGATAACTAGTATTTAGGCTTACTATGGGCTTTAGGCGCTTTAGGTCTTATGCGTATTCAAATTCTTGTGCCAGTCTGACTCATGGTTTTAGGTCGTGATACTAACCATGATTCTTTGTATCATCTTCTTTTCTGAAATTGATTAAGAATATTATTATATTATTGCTCCAACCTATTCATGATTCATAATTTATGTGATTTTCATTTTTTTTAGTTTTGTCATTTATAAGGGGTGACTGGTGAGTATATCACAAGAAGTTTCTGAAAAATTTTTCATCCAAGACAATAAGAAAATAACACAAAATTGCACAATTTACGCATGGCACGGATATATGGCTAGTTTAACTTAAAACAAGACATCCAAAACGTCAAAACCCGATTGAAGTTTCTATTTGTTCTATCAAACCTGACTCTACATTTTTCTCCAAACATACAGAATTGGGCGGGTCAAACTCAAAAGGAGACTATGGATTCAGAGAAGGAATCAACATCATTTGCCCGGAGGCAGTTATCTTGCACCACCAGCTTTGACGCTCTTTGGTTCTGCTATTGTACTCTCTCTCCTTTTTATATCTTTCAAAATCATTTTCTTTTTCTTTTTTCAATTATTATAATACACTAAGTATGCACATACAAATGCGCACTTGAAACACAGAAAATTCCATTTGTGTTTACTTATTCTTTTCTTCTTGGTTTTCAATTTTGTTTTGTTTCCTTTAAAACCTACATTCGAATTTATTACATGGGGCATTGTTGTTGTTTGTTCAGCTCCAGTGCATCAGATGCAGCAGTATTATCGGCTAGGAGTTTTTGATAACTGTTCGGAGAAATGGAATGCTTTGGTTGATTGTTTACTTCTGAAGACCAAAAAATCTTCTGAAGTGCAGGTAACCTTTTACACTTATTAACCTAATTTGAATTTTCTATTATCTTTTAATCACTAGAAGATTTTTGTTCTGCTGATTTCTTTCTTGGGGCTGCTGGACCACATTTCTTGTTGAAAGGTTTTTGAGTAGACAGAAAGGAATATGCAAATTGGGTTGTGGAATATAAAGGAAATAGTAGGATGGCTTTTATCTTTAAATTCATGAATTATGTATGTGATTTGTATTGTTTCACGAAAAATATTTCGTCTGTCTTTTCTCAAGAAAAATATGTAAGCTTTATCTCCAATTCTAGGCCAGAGGTTTATCACATTCAATATTTTGACAAGTTATTATTCCGGGGACATTAATCTATATGGCTGCAGGAGACAGATTAGTAATTCAATTTTGTAGTGAAGTTGCATGTATACACACACATAGGCTATTTTGCATCAGTTGTATTTACTTCCTTACTCCTCAGTCATCTTGCTAGTTGCCACCCTTGCTACCTGTCAATTGATTCAGGTGGTTGCAACAGTAACATTTTTCCATGTTAGATGGGATAAAAAGGGGGTGTAGGCACTACTTTTCAACAAAGTGTTTATGATAATTCTCAGGGGAAGGTTATGGCGCTATAAATGTATGGTCATTGTAATGCTAGATTGATTGAGATTCCTCATTGTAGATGTATGTCAGTTGGTTGGTGATCCTGAATTCTGATTGCATTTTACGCAGAGATAGACCCTGTCATCATTCGGTCATAGTTTTCTGACTGGAGTTACCTGAATCACTACTCGAACTTAATCCTTGTTTTTTGTTTTGGTATATTGGAAATTCGTGAATCTTAATTTTTGTTCATTTGCTTTATGGTATCATATCATGCCTCATGAGATGTCAACTGATTGAATTATGAATCTAATTAGTTTTTCATTTTCAGTAGCAATTATTTGGTTCCGTAAAACCTTTTCATTTCATGCTCTTTAAATTATGAGTTTAACTTTTTGTTTAGCTTTAGCTTCAGCTTCTTGTATCATTCTTTCTGTTAACAGTCCTTATTGGATCACTGTGATTATATCATATATTACAAGCTTATATAAAGTAGCCTGTACAGTAATAATGCCTTGCATTTATTTAAAGCTAGTTTTCCTCATTTCATTGTGTCCGCCTGCTTGCATGTTTTTTAGTGTTATATATATATATGTATATAAGAGAGAGAGAGAGAGAGAGAGAGAGGGATGTAAGGTTCTGTATCTTCAGTGTCCTCTTTCAGATTTTTTTACTTTTATTAGACTGTATTTGGTAACATCATCAGTATTTTAAATCTTTTATGGTCTAACTGGTAGCCCATTGTTCTTTTAACCAGTTATTTGGCAATAGGGAATCTCACTTTTAAAGAGTTTGTTTGACATTAAGGTTGAAACTAGTTTTGGAAAAAACGTCGATTTATGTTTTGAAAAAAGCAAAAAGAAATTACGATTTTTGTGCAGCCATTTTAAAGTTTGTATGATTAAACGTATTAAATTCATCTTAAAAGTAAACTTCAGTAAGTTAGAATCTATAGATTAAACAAAATGTTTTTCTTGAAGTAATTTCAAACAGAATCAGAATATATTGTTATTACGACGGACTAGGTTTGAAACCCAAAAAATGTTAGAAATCCATTTGCTTCAAGTAGGTGCTTTTTTTTTTGTGTATGTTGATGTTAAATGATCAGTGAATGATAGTGACTGCATGATTTCTTAATACAGGAAATACTGGCCTCTCGTGAGAAGGCCAAGGACCACATTTGGACTTTCCGGACACCAGAAGAAGCATCATCTCATTGGAAAGAGCTGTATGGACAATTAGATGGAATGGAATGAGGATCCAAAGTCAGTCTGCAGGTCTCTCCATTTTTTTCCCCTTATTTGCTATACCAAAACTAGAGAGGGAAGAAACATAATAGATTTATTTTTTTTTAACATGGATTCTCGTTCTTTTCCGGCCAATAGATATTATTGATTCAACAGAGTGATTTGTAAAAATGATCAAAGCAATGGTTATTTATCATATTGTTCCATGGACGTCGGTGATTACGTTCTCATATATTGACTTATGAATCAAAATGCTTGTTGGAATTAATTAAGTCGGTATTCAGCAACAGTTTTTTTAGCAACAGCTTTTTTGGTAGATTTAGTTAAAACGTTAAACACTATTCCAAATGCTAAATGCTATTTTTTACGGTGTTTAGTGACAACGTTTGAATTAGCTATCAGAGGTTAAAGGTAGCTTTTTATAAAAGTTTATCTCCTGTAATGTTTTCCTTTTAATGTTTTATGAAAAGTTATTCAAACATCTAACAATTATCAAAGGAGTTAATTTTGCAGAATAGACTTTTAATAGTAAATAGAACAGTTTACCAACTTTCTCTAGTTCTAAATTTGAGGAACTGAAAATTGTAAAGAATTTGATAGAAATGTAAATGAGAGTTTTTAGTAACTAGAAATTGTAAAGAATTTTTACTGTAAAATTTGAATAACGAGAAATTGTAAAGAATGAATGTGCTGGGAATGTAAGCGAGGGCTTTGAAAAGTAAAGAAGCTTTCGATGAAATTGAAATTGAATATTGAGCAGCTACAGTGTTTGTTGTTGGAGTTTATCACTGCACATTTGTGCTCCGTATCGCATCTTAATCCTTATCTAATTTAATTTAATTAGATTAACCATTTTGACTAAAAGGATTCCAAAAAAAAAAAAAAAAAAAAAAAAAAAAAAAGTGACAACGTTGAATTAGCTATCAGAGGGTTCAAAGGTAGCTTTTCTATAAAAAGTTTATCTCCTGTAATGTTTTTCCTTTTAATGTTTTATGAAAAGTTATTCAAACATCTAACAATTATTCAAAGGATGTTAATTTTGCCAGAATAGAACTTTTAATAGTAAATAGAACAGTTACCAACTTCTTCTAGTTCTTAAATTGAGAGGAACTGAAAATTGATAAAAGAATGATTTAGGAAATGCACACATGGAAGGAGTTTTTGCACGTAACTCAGAAAAAAGTAAATTTCTATCTGCTAAATTGTTTATAGAGCTCGAAAATGGAAAGTAATATGAAGCTGGGAAGTGGCCACAAAAGCGGAGGGGGCTCTCCTGAAAAGTAAAGAAGAGCTCGATGAAAGAAAAAAATGAGAGGCTACAGTGTTTGTTGTAGGCAGTTTCTACTGCCACTGCACATTGTGCTCCGTATCGCATCTTGAATCCTGTATCTGAACTTAATATTTAAATTAGAAATGAACCATTTTTGACTAAAAGGGATTCCAAAAAAAAAAAAAAAAAAAAAAAAAAAAAAAAAAGAGGAAAAAAGAAAACTCAAATATAGTTTAAATAATAGTTGAAGCATGGCCATGATTTCCGAATCATCCGTTTTCAGACAAAGGTGGAATCGAACTGCTCTTGAGCAATTTTTGAAAAGTGTTAAAATTGCGGATTCTGGTTTCATTTTGGTTTAGAACCGAATTTACATAATTTTTTTCTAAGTTATTTTTTATAATCTTTTTTAGCTTGTAGGATGAATAAATAATCTATCTATCTATACTATATATAGTATAAAAGTGAAAATAGGGGGAATGATGAGATTTTCTATATCATCCTTAATGAAATTTAAATCGTTCTAAAGTACCCTTAGCGACGGGCAATTAAAAAATTATAATTTATTAGTTGATTGGATATAATTTATAAAAATTATTTTTTCAGCCAATTATATGTGACTTGATTATCTTCTCACTTATGTGAGGAGTGAGAGGTCTCGAATTTGAATCATCTCGACCACAAGTGTTTTCACTAATTTGATTATTGTGTAACTCACAGTGGTATTTCGACCCATCAGACCTCCTAATGAATAAAAAAATTATTTTATAGATAAGTAATTAAGCATTTCAAAATTTTAAGTTTTATCTTTATTAAATTTATTTTTTAATGAATATATATGATAATGAGATATTTGAAAACTTTTTATATTTTATTTATTAAATATTTAATGAGATTATTTGAAAAAACTTTTTATAATGTTATTATTAAATATTTAAATTCTTTTAGAAAATATGATATACAAAAGAAAGAAATAATGTTTTTCTTGTATTGTTTGTTATGATATGATTGGAGTTTTTTGTATGATATGATTGGATTTTTTTTTAAAAAAAATTTTCAAATAGAATATATATGATATTTTATTTAGGAGAGAGATAAAAAAAGAAAAAGTATATTATTTTTATTAATGTCTTTTTTTTTTATGTTTGTAAGATGTGATTGGACAAATTTTTTAAAAAATAAATTTTTAAATAGAGTTTACATAATTAAACCTGAATTGTAAATAATTGAAAATTTTAATTTAAAAAAAATATTTTATTGATATATTTATATATCTATACACATTGAAATGTTTTTATTTTGTTAGTTGAGTTACCAATTTGATTGTTGTGTAGCCCGCAGTATTATTTCGGCCATCAAGCCTCCTAATTAATCGAAAAAATAATTTTATATAATTATATATAATTATATTATATACTATATATATATATATCATATATAATATATATATTATATATAAGCTTTTCCAAAATTTTAATTTTTTTATATCTTACGTTAAGATTCATTTTTATATGAATATTATATGATAATGAGACATTTGAAAACTTTTTCATATTTTCATTTGATTAAATTATTTAATTTCTTGTAAGATATAGATTAAAAAAAGGGAAAATATACCTTTTTTATTAATATTATTTTTTCTTATGTTGATATGATTGAATTGATTGGATATATTTTTTAAAAAAATAAAAATTTTAAATAGAATATAATATAAATTATAATATTTTATTTAGAAGAGATTAAAAAAGAAGAAAAAAATATATTATTTTTATTATATTTTTGTTCTTTATGTTTGCCATATTTGATTGGACATATTCTTTTAACAAGTAAGTTTTCAAATAGAATTTACATAATTAAACATGTGATGGTAAACAATTGAAATTTTAATTTTAAAAAATCTATATAATATTTTATTGACATATTTATATATCTATATACATTGAAACATTTTCTTACTAGGTGAGTTTTGAAAGAGTTGTATTCTAATAATAATTTTTTATTTTTTTTTTCGTTACTGAATAATTTGTAACTACTATCATTTTAATTTAGTAAGAGATTTATATCTTAAGAGATTTATATCTTCGTTACGATAAATTGTATTCTAATAATAATTTTTTATTTTTTTTTTCGTTACTGAATAATTTGTAACTACTATCATTTTAATTTTGTAAGAGATTTATATCTTCGTTACGATAAATAAATTGTCTATTGATGGTTAAGTATTTTTAATTTTCTTGATATTTTTTCTCTTATATCGTACATCTATTTGACTTAAAATTATGTGCATATATTCCTTCGTCTGATACACTGGATAAATAATACTGTCACTATGGTCAAAGTAATTTCCATTACAAATTCAATTCATCTTGTGACATCCTACCGAGTCGAGTCTTAGCACTGAGTCGAGTCATTTCATGGAGTCGAGTTGAGTCGGGCCAAACCAAACCCGGTTGGGGTAGAATATAAAGGTGGAGTACTTGATGAGAGAAAAAGAAACTCAAGCATATGGGTGAGGATATTGCAATTAAAAGATCAAGCTTGGGTCATTAAGTGAAGGCCTTTGCTAATTGAGGTACCATTTAGGAAAAGTTTTACATAAAAATCCCTTTTGATTTTTGATTGGAGCCTACCCGTGGATTATCACTTCCACTTTCCCATTTTTCATCTTATCTCATCTTCTTTATTTTTCCTTCCTTCCTCCTTCCACCTTCCTTTCAATTTAATGGTAAGTTAAGCCTTAACTTCAATTTTCTCTACTCCAAGTAAAAAGTAAACCTTCTTGGAAGTTCATAATTTGAATCATTTTGTGCTATTATTTTAGCGAATTCATAAGAATCTTAATATACGGTGAAAGGAGTTCAAAGTTTGTCATAAGAAAAGAAGAAGGTTAAAGCAAAGGAGCTCAGCTTTTGGAAGTAAAGGTTTGATTATCTCTTTCTTACATTTCTTTGCATGAGAATTTGATTGTCGGTGTGTTGTTAATGAGACAATATTGCTTCATGTGAGGTGGGAGAGGGACTAGGTAATGGTGAGAAAGAAACAGGCAACGAGAACAGGCGGAAGGGGTATAAGTAAATGAAGGTACATATTGAGTTTATGTGAACAGGCTTTCAGTGAAACTAATATTTGGTGTTTACAAGTAACTCATCTTGATTTGAACCCATTTAATGACTGGAATAGGAAGGTGTCATAGAAGAGTTTCATTTGTCCTCTATGTGTTATCTTATATGGGTACACTAGGATTTTTTGATCAGCTCGTGCCTATCATCTCTTCACAAGTGCGCGCCGTTTCGACTGATGGGCTCTCGATAGTATCCTGCATCTCTCCTGGAATACTTAGCGACGGTGATGTACTTGCTCCAGTCAACGGATCGACATGTATTCTTAGCCATCATCAATAAGCATCTGTGTGAATTCGGAGTCTACACTGGTTGCAGCTAGAACGGTATTCCGTTAAGAGCCCCAACAGGGTTCGCAATTCTCTGCGAAAACGCGAAAGCGGCGCAACCACCATCGAGTGTCATATATCGCACTCGCACAGATACCTTCCGGAACAAATGAGAGAGCGGTCCTCATAATCGGGTACCTCTGTGCTCTTCCCGCTACTTTGACTAGCACTAATATCCTATTATCTCTTACCTTTGGCCTTTGGTCTAGGAGCCCTCCTATCCTCTATCGTCAAAACACCAAGCCGACAGCCTTCCGTCCAAGATTTTTCAAATGTGCGCTCGCGACTTTCAACCTAAAACTCTCTGACCTTATTTTGGCACATCTCGCGCTAGCGGACTTGTGCTCGCCAAAACTCTACTGACTCTCATTGGCACTTCTCGCGCTCGCGACTTTCAAGTGCTTGCGGGCCGCTCGCGTACTTGGCCCTTGGCCTGTAAAGCGGCTCGCGACCTTCATCGCAGCGCTCGCGAATGCTGGAACTCACTGTCTCTCATTTTGCAACTCTTACGC